AATACGCATGTCATAAGGGGCATGGTCATCAGAAATGCACATGTCATTAAGGGCCATGGTCACCAGAAATATGCATGTCAATAAGGGGCATGGTCATCAGAAATGCACATGTCATTAAGGGGCATGGTCATCAGAAATGTGCATGTCATTAAGGGGCATGGTCATCAGAAATACACATGTCATTAAGGGGCATGGTCATCAGAAATGTGCATATCATTAAGGGGCATGGTCACCAGTAATGTGCATGTCATTAAGGGGCATGGTCATCACAAATGCGCATGTCAATAAGGGGTATGGTCATCAGAAATGCACATGTCATTAAGGGCCATGGTCACCAGAAATACGAATGTCAATAAGGGGCATGGTCATCAGAAATGCACATGTCATTAAGGGGCATGGTCATCAGAAATGTGCATGTCATTAAGGGGCATGGTCATCAGAAATACACATGTCATTAAGGGGCATGGTCATCAGAAATGTGCATATCATTAAGGGGCATGGTCACCAGAAATGTGCATGTCAATAAGGGGCATGGTCATCAGAAATATGCATGCCATTAAGGGGCATGGTCATCAGAAATGCACATGTCAATAAGGGGCATGGTCATCAGAAATGCGCATGTCATTAAGGGGCATTATCATCAGAAATGTGCATTGTCAATAAGGGGCATGGTCATCAGAAATGCACATGTCATTAAGAGGCATGGCCATCAGAAATGTGCATGTCATTAAGGGGTATGGTCATCAGAAATGCACATGTCATTAAGGGGTATGGTCATCAGAAATGCACATGTCATTAAGGGGCATTATCATCAGAAATGTGCATTGTCAATAAGGGGCATGGTCATCAGAAATGCACATGTCATTAAGAGGCATGGCCATCAGAAATGTGCATGTCATTAAGGGGTATGGTCATCAGAAATGCACATGTCATTAAGGGGCATGGTCATCAGAAATGCACATGTCAATAAGGGGCATGGTCATCAGAAATGCACATGTCAATAAGGGGCATGGTCATCAGAAATGCACATGTCATTAAGGGGCATTATCATCAGAAATGTGCATTGTCATTAAGGGGTATGGTCACCAGAAATGTGCATGTCATTAAGGGGTATGGTCATCAGAAATGCGCATGTCAATAAGGGGCATGGTCATCAGAAATGCACATGTCATTAAGGGGCATGGTCACCAGAAATGCGCATTGTCTGAAGTGACACTGTCAAAATTATGCATGTCATGTGGCTTTGTCATCAGAAGTGTGCATGTTGTAAAGCGACAATGTTGTTAAAATTTTTTGCTGTTTTGTTATTGCAAAATGTTTTTCTCAACTCTGGTTGGTCTTTACCTACACAGTGTACACTACCTGCTGTATGCAGTTTTAAACACCGCTAATAACTATAATATTTTATCGTCACAAAAATCCATTAACTATGACCAAGCATGACATATACCCGGTAATTTTGATAATTGTTTGAATTTCTCGCTTGACTGTAAATGCCATCAAGTTGTGAACATTTCTTGGCGTGTGAGTCTTCCCGAAACACAGGTTCAGTTCTGATGACAGTGATGCTTTAAGAAGACTAATAGTTCAAATTTCTTGTATGTTTCTGATTACGAACTTTGTCCCTAAGTTGAACAAGTCTTCCATGCATCCATGGAAACTAACCAAAACAGCTAAAATATGATTTTGATAGCACATGTTTAACAATGATGATACTATTTTTGATTTCAAAAATGTTTATATTAAAGATGCTCTTCTACTTTGTGGGGCAATATGATCATGACATCCAAAAATATAAATGTGTATATATATATATATATATTGCACATATAGATATATTGCACAGTGATGATACAAGCAAAACTGAATTTTTTTAAAAATCAGTACTTGGACTCCTTGATCCAAAGCGGGCTTCTATTTCTTCCAGTGTGCGGCCTTTGGTTTCAGGTACAAATATTACAACAAACAGTGTTGCTACAAAACACACACCACCAAAGAACCAGAATGTCCCCTGCTCCGTCAAAGAATCCTGAAGACAAAAACAAAATAATTCAGTGATAATTTACAAAATAGTGTTCTAAAGAAGAAATATTGTACTGCATTTAAATTTAGAGCATTTGATGTTGTTGGGATATACACTAAGTTTTTATGCAAGGCCTGCTTATGCCATTTTTTCCTATTCATCTCAATGGGCAATGTGTTAAATTGTTTGTGGAAGAAAACATCCACTCTATTGTTAACTTTGCATATTCATCAGTGAATGCAGCTTTGAGGGTACCTTGGTTAAGGTCTGCAGGTGCTTGTGTTTGTGTTGACCTGACCTGATTGACACCAGAATAGTGCATTAAATTGCCAATTGATAGAGAGATGGCTGCAGTCCTGTCATGAAGTCCTAAACATGAATATAGCTTCTGTGGCAAAAATGAACAAAATGTCAGCTCTCACACTTGCAATTTGCCCATAAAAAAGACAGAAGAAACAACAATGTCCGAGATTGTTGTCTGGCACAAAAAACACTATTTAAAAAAAAAAAAAAAAAACTTTCCATATTCACCAGTGTTTTTATTTACCGCATTTACCATCATCGAAATTAAAACCCAGCATATAGTGGAACTATTCACCTGAAAGCAGGGTCAACTTCATGCTCCATGTTCTTAGTAGGTTTTTTTCACAATGTGCAACTTATCTGATGATTGTCTCTCGCCAATTGTATTTTTAAAATGTTCGCAACATGGTAATGATAAGTTTTAAATCCTCCAGTTTTTAATTTGTGGCAAAAATGCATGGTTCGTGGACGTACATTATTGCGTAATGTTGGGCGATCAAGATCTGACATGCAATTAAAGTTTTACTCTGTGCATGACAAATTGATTGGTTTATGAACAAGACAATCTCATGTCAATCACGGCCAACAGGGTAAATTCAGCTACCAGTAATATGACTGACTCCGGACATTACCAGGTGAGTTGCTGACTGATTTTCTATGTATGTGATGTGATTAGAACTGGTTATATCAAAACATTTTTCATGAGTATGCTGCTCGGCTAAATGTCTGTACTATACAAGTACATGTATTAATAATGTTATGCCACATACTAGACACACACCTGTGGGACCGTGTATATTTAGTATGACATTTGTCAAGCGGCCATTTACATAAATTTATGAAATAAATTGAAAGGGAACCTTTAAACACGCATAGCAAACCAATCAGCAACTTAGCTGACAATGTTGCGGTTTTGTTGATCGAAACAATATCGCGGTGACAGTATATCTACTTTTTATCTGCCGTACACCGAGATAGACAACAGTCTCAATCGGCAGGCGACTGAAGCCAGTGGTGAAGATCTGCAGATGCTTCTATTTAAGAAAGACTCGTTGAAGTCAGGATAGCGCATTAGATTGTCGTAATGACATTATGATAGACAGTAGAATTTAATTTAAATCTGTAAATTGCCAAAAATAATATTTTTCAAAAACATGTATCCATATTTTTGGTTTCATTTAAACTTACCATCATATCTGAAAACGTCAACGTTACAATAAACGCACATGTCCAGTTGACTAACGTTGCGATACCGCTGGCTGCACCACGTGCTCTGGACGGAAATATTTCGGACATGATAAGCCAGGGAATAGCTCCCCAGCCTAGCGAAAATGATATGATGTATACAATCATACTTGAGAGAGATAAACCGCTCAGATCGTTACCGGAAGGTGTTTTTAACTGGTAATACAATCCAAATGTTCCTGCGCTTACTGTCATACCAATACCTAAAAAATGAAAGCAAAATTAATTTCAGTCTACCGAAAACTACTGTTGCCAATCAGAATGATAAGATTTTGTTCTACCAGGAATCTTTGTATCATCGACACGTAATATATTAACACATACACACGTTGTTTTAAAAAGACAACCTGCATGCTGTTACCCCTGTCGCACACCACCCTCTACAACAAAACACGACTGTCGTAATCAGGGCAAAATCATGCGATTGCCACATGTGCAGACTGGTAGTGATTCGCACCACCAGACGAGGCCCATGCTCTGATTGGTTCACTCTAATGATGGAATATGACAAGCATTTTGGCATTCAAATCTGATGCAGGTACCTTTTTATTCCACCGATGTACAACACCTGTAATATAATCTGACCAAATGACTATCCAAATTACATTCAGCCACCTCCTCAACAGGATTCGTCAACCAATTAGAGTGTGCCTTACGAAAAAGTGGCATGTAACGTAAGTTCTGATTCGTCGCTGATGATCAGATTTAGTTTGAAGCGATGTAAATCTACCAGTACTGCAGGAATGGTTTACTGATCTAAATTGAAAACAGTCATATATGTGGAACAACCAGTAGATTGATTAAACATTTGATTTTGATACTAATAGAATGTGATTGACACCGAGCAGCATGAGAGGTCACTGACCATATATGGATATATAACTGTGAATTAACCTGGTTAATTTCTTTTGTCTTTTTACAATATGGTTATATAATTTACACAATTCTTATGCTGTCACCAAACTACTTTCTTATACCAAAAAATTAATCAAACACCCATGAAAATGGCAGTTATGTATCATTTTTAAACTCCCCAAAAAACATAAGTTTCAATAAATCAGGATGACAATTTTTTTTGTTTCAAAATTGTTAAATAAATATTGATTTGTACAAAAGTCATCAGGTTTTGATGCCCCCCCCCCCAAGTACAACATTTCTGAAAAAGAAAAGAAAGAAAAACTGCGTGGACAGCATCTAAAAAATATGATTGTTTGTTATGCAATTAAAAAAGAAACAGCTGTTCCACACATATGAAACATATTTCTATGTT